AAGTAAGGCCTGTGATGCCTTTCACGAAGGAGCCAGATGGAGAGAAGCTATAATGTGTCAGAAAATAGGGCAAATTAATTCCTTCTTTGCAACCATTCTTTCTGGTGGCAGAGTACATACCTCCTCCACTCCCCTGATTAGCTGTGCAAGTGCCCTGCACATTCCCACAATGTTCCTCTAAAAATTGCTGCCAGCCCTGAGGGAAGAAACCCCCGTGGCTGCCCAGCAAGGAGCTAATCATCACATGCATCTCCATTTCAAATTAAATCTCCCAGTAGAAAAGAAGTGTGGGGGAAGAGGGGCAGTAACAAAACCTGCTCTGTGTGGTTTGTGGGTACACGTAGGTGTGCACACACTTTTCTGTGACGTAGCTACTTTGCACTTCTGTGGGTTTTGCTGAGCTGTTCCAACTGATGAAAGTAAAATACCAGGGAAAAAGTAAGATAATGAGGATTAATAAAGCTGCAAGTGAAAATCAGTAGGGAGGTAGAGAAGTTTTTTCTGCCCAGATTTCAGATTTCTTTCTGCCCAGCCTTTCTGGTCCAGGTGATTTCTATGGGTTCACAAATGCATTTGACACTACAGGAGTGTGCAACTGGGGGAAAATATTTCTACACAGAGGATCATAGGAGAACAAATGCATCATCACCTTGATGTTTCAGTGTTGTGGCAGGTTTTTTAAAAAAACCCCAAACACCTAAATTAGAAACACACTTTCTGGGCTGTGCTTACAATCAATTTATCCTCTAAGTCCCCTGTCTGTAATCTGGGAAATTTTTGCTTTAAATCTCAGTCAATCCATTCTCATTAACTTAAGCAATCTAAATATCTCACCTAAGTGATGAATATTTCTACTTCTCTGCAATGAAAACTATCCAAAGCACAGGACTTTAATGTTCATATCACTGAAAACAATTCAACTCTTCCATAATGTCGTTGACCTCACCTGCCCAATGCAGGTGTGAGATTTTTCTAAGAAAGAAATAAATTTAAAAAAACAAATCACAAAATAAGCTTGAAATGTAAATGCAAAATTTACTTTCTTTTTTATTTTCCTGTGGGTTTTTTTTCTGGGAAGTTTGTGATACTGATTCCTGGAAGTATGTGTAAATATTAGACAAGTCATTAATTGGAATAATGAAAACAAACTGCCTAGTCCAACTTCCAGGAATCTGTACAAAGATCAGATTCCTCAAAACACAAACTAAATCATACCATTTCCAAATCAGTCCTTAAAATCTCGAGTACAATTCTTCATCTTTGCTCACAGATAATTTGGTGGCTTTGCCCTTACTTTTGTGCCTATAAAATCCCCAGCTCATACTTCTCTGACATCCAAACGTAACTGAGATGTGTCAGAGCTCAGGCTCAGACTGGGACTGCTGCCTTAAGACATTCCCTTGCCAAAAACAGCGATGCACAGAACAGATAAGTGTCCGCAACTGAGGACTTGCACTATTTTACCCTAATCCAGTTCCAACCACTGTCAAAGGCTGCTAAAATCCTCTAAAATCAATCAAATAAGTTTGAGGTTGTAAATTGTTTGTGCACCTGGCTCAGGCCACATAGCCTACACTCCATGCAGATAACCCAGAGAGCTCAGAGAGCAGAGCCCTTACACATCTCTCTGAGCAATTTTCCCTGCACTGTTGGACTGAGGATTTGACTGACCACATTAATGACCCTTCAGTGTTGATGGCAAAATCCTGCACTCCATTGCCCATGCATTACAGGAAAAACTCTGCACAGCCCCAAAGGCACACTCCAAACCCAACCTTTGGCATCAAAACAAGCCTAATTTGTAAATCGTAATTGATTTTGAAGCCAGATGCTTTCAACAGAATTTTCCATGACTGCAGTACAGTGAGGTAAAAAATTGCTAATTGTGCCACATGTCTATTAATAGTCCTTTCTCTGATTCCAGCTAGCAATTTAAAATGTATTAAATATTATTTATACATGCCCTCTCCAGAAATCTCTGCATGAAAAACATGTTCAGTTCTAAGCACACACACTGAAAAATGTTGTATTCCTCTGCTACCACTGAATCTCCAGAGCAGTCATGATTTCTACCAAGTACTACCTCATTTGTTCTGACCAAGATAATAACAAAACTCAGACATTTGAGGCTATAAATAAAGCTACTAACCTCACTAATAAAACCACCTAATGATCACTGAATAATTTAGAGAGCTTTTAGAATGGCTTTATGCTTCTCCCTAATCCTTTTTGCTGGGGTAGTTGAAATCCTCAGAGAGAAGAAATGTATCCATAAAAGTGGCCATGGCCAGATAGACAGATGGCAATCTCTGCACGTCAGAAGAAATGCTATGTTCTCTTTGGCTGCTCTAGAACCTCAGGAGTTTGCTCTATCTGATCTCCTCTTCAATATTAAATAGGGAATTTGTTCCTTTGATGTGTGTGCATGCACATCTCATTAGGACTAAAGAGATTTGAAGAGTGAGTTCATGTACAAGAATTCTTTTAACTTGTGTCAACAAGAGAGTACATTGTCCTCTTTTTGTGAGAAAAAAATGAAACTGTTGTGTGACAGAAATTCCCAGAGCAAACGAAGCCATTTGGAATAACTGAAGATTATGGACCGAAATTAGATTATCCACCGTAGGAAACTGGAGAAATAGCTTTTCCTTTCAAGAAGTGCTGGTATAAAACCCCCAATAAACATCTTTTCTACTTACTATATCTGTCTTTCAAGTCACAGGTTATGTGCCCAGCTGGCTGTGAGAGCTGCTTTTGGAGACTTTACTATCTGTTGGACAGTACTATTTGCTAGTCTGTGGCTGAAAACACTTGCCCAACAAACTCTATCAACTTC